CTGGTTTTTCTTACGATTCCGCATAACTGCCTACTTTTCTCGTCAATCGAAAAAATATTTCTATAAATTCCATTTTTTAACCGAAATGGATGGGGATACTCTCAGATTGTTCTCCATGAAATTCCCGTTCTCCCTCACCGAACACATGGCATCTCGGCCTACCCAGTCACGTGGTCGGCCCATTGTTTTGTTGACACGCCAAGTGCCCACACTGTGCTCCCCTCTCGCGGCAAACGTGACCCGTTTTACGCATTTATTTCCGTTCCGTTTCCGTTCTCGTGTACCTAAAACCCATTCAATACCTTCAACATGGATGCTGCACCAGGAACAAGCAGTGGAACGCAAAACAAAGGTAGGAAATCTAGGAAAGCAGAAGAGATCGCCAGGATTTTCGATCTGTATCGTGGGGTCAATCTCACTCCATCCAAGATTCCCGATGTTGTTGAAGCCTTTTCAGGGTCTTCTGATGATGATTTGGAGGCTGACGAACCGGAAAATGATGTTCTTTATGAGGTTTCCTCAAATGATGAAGATATTTCGAGTGAGAGTGAGGATGAGAGTGATGAAGAAGCCCCAGCCCCGCCACGCGGTGACCGCACGTATCCGGTACCAAAGAGGGCTAGGCTGGGTGATGAGTGGAATCGTAGCAATACTCCTCCCATCGTTGATAACTTTACTGCAACCCCTGGCCTAACAATTCCACTACCTGCTACTCCATTGCAGTTTTTACAATTATTTTTCACTAGAGCAGTGGTTGAATACTTAGAGTATGAAACAAATTTGCATGCCACACACGTCATACATCTCATGGCTGAGTCAGCAAGAAAAACGTGGAAACCAGTGTCGGTGAAAGAAATGGCCCGATATTTGGCCCTGTGCATACTGATGGGCATAGTGAAGATGCCTACAATGAGGATGTACTGGCAGACGAATCAGATGTGGCATTGTCGATTCTTCAACTTGTTTATGTCGTCTGCTCGGTTCCAACACATTTCTAAGTTCTTCCACATGTTTACACATGTGGCACACTTAGACTACAACGTGGCACCCCCAAGGATCTGCAACAAGTTGTAAAGGGTAAAATGGCAACCGACACGACCGTATACATGCGTAAGGATAACACCTTTGTTATAGTTTGGAAGGACAAGCGCCCCGTCTCTGTCATCACCAATATCCACAATGCCGACACTACTCAAGCACAGCGCAGGAAACGCGTTCGTAAAGGTGACGGGAGAACTGGAGTAGAAATTGTGAAAATGAACAAACCCAAGGCCATAGTGGATTACAATAAGTTCATGAAAGGTGTTGATCATTTTGATCAAATGGTCAAATATTATGAGTTTGCAAGAAAAACCCACAAATGGACCAAGAAGATCACTTTCTATTTTCTGCAAATGGCCATGCACAATGCATACGCATTGTATAACCACTACTCAACAGATACAAAAAAACTAACACTATTAGAGTTTCACGCAGTAGGAATAAAAGCCTTATTGGCGTGGAACAGCAAGGAATGGCCAACAACAAGAAGTATACCACATGTTCCCGACATAGATGCCAGCGCAGCTCCTCCTGCTGACGCGGCAGTTTCAACACCCGGGCCATCTGGTGCTAGGCGTCCTCTGTTCACCTCAACACCTAAAGCCCACTCATCAACCACAAATTCTGAAATGGACATTGAGGACATAGAACCACTTGATGTTTCTGATTTCATAGAAGATTCTACTACAAGTTTGGTGGTTCCTGTAGAAGACAATATTCTTCCAGTGAATCCAAAAAATACAAGAATTATAGATTCAGAACAACGTCTCAACTACAAGTTGACGCATGAACTCGTGCACTTGGCTAAAAAAAAAAGATGCCGTGTTTGTTACAAGTCTGGCAAAAGGAGGGACGTGATATATGGATGTAAAACTTGTGATGTGGCACTGTGCGCTGCGCCTTGCTACACAAGGTACCACCGAAGAAAGATATTTTGGGTGGAGAAAAAATAACCACCGGCAACAGCTTCACTCCACCTAAGAAACATCAGATGAGCAACTTCAGGATCAGAAGCCTGAAGATGGAGTGAAGAAAAAATGCTCAACTGTTGATCTTCAATCAACATAGACAGGGTAAGTACACCTATTTGGAATTTTTTATCATCTATAAGAAGTTGTATTATATACGTTTTGTAGAAAATTTATTTGCGAATTTTTTGGTACCAGAATGAATATTATATCACATAAACTTCTATGAGTAAAAAAAAAACACAAAGTATGTTTGGGGGTGTGGAGGGTGTGGCTCTGGGTGTGGCGGTCGTGTGGCAGTGGGTTCCCTTTAGCCGTTGATATATCCAACACGTGGGAAATATTTGTATGTGTTATGTATATGTCTGTGTAGGGAATTTTACTGCGATCACTGTCATACAAATTATAAAATGTTTCAACAAGTATAAACATGAGAAACATCAAACGAACGAAAACAATGCGTTCGTTTCTGCCGTGAACGCATACTGAGCGACGTGGTTCTATATTTGGCGCTTCTCTTACACATGCTTTGTACAAATGTTATACATTTCATCTTATAGAAAATTTTATTGCGAACACATTGGTATAAAAAGAAATACGTACATAGAAAAGTAGGGTCAGGAAACGTATAAATGTATAAACTTTCCAAGCATGATTTCCCCCCTGTGTTTTCGCCAGTGCGCTCGCGGCTAACTACTCACCACTTCACACACTCTTGCGGGTGGGCAATTACCTATATTAAACATTCATATGCATATGTCCGTGTAGAGAATTTTATTGCGATTCCAATGATACCAAAATTAGCGATGTAGGACAACTGTAGGCTTCGCAACCATTAAGAGAGTGGAAACATTTTGTTGCTGTTTGGCGCTCTCGGCGAGTGATCTGCATAGTTTTTTATTTGGTGTTGATACTCCTTATGCTTGGGCGGCATTTTATAGGTATGCTCTTATAGACAATTTCATTGCGAACACAGTGATACCAAATTTAAATACGTGCGCCTTCAATTATTGTCAGGACAGTCAAAAGAGTGTACACTTTTTCGGTCTTACGCGTAGGGGCGCGAAGTGCCGAAAGCATCTAGGGTATTGATTTTTTTTGAGCGCCGAGAGCGCGAAAGTGTTAATAGCCTGCACTGGCAAATTTTGGGTATACTGTGAGGATATCTTCCAGAATACGAGAGTGAATAAAGTAATTGCAAAGCTCCAGGTACCTCATGCCAACTGGTCTGAAAGGTCTAATAATTGGGCATTCAGTGATGTAGTGCGGGAGATCATGCCGTAGTTCCTGCTCACAGAGTTTGCAACTGGAGTGCTCAGGATTGGGAGACCCGTCACCTGCAGCCGCCTGCCACAGGTAACGGTAACCCAACCTGATCCTTGCAACCACTGTGTCGCACAGTCTAGTGGACGTTTTGTGCTGTCCATAGATGTAGGTTTCAGATCTGAACAAATCATAGCTTTTTATACTAGTACTTTCAGGTCGTTGGGAGTCAGTAAGTTCTTTCCTATCAGATCTGAATGTTTGGACCAATACAGTTTTGACAGCAGAGATGGGGATACCTAGATCTAATTCAACTGCAAACTTGATACATGCTAATTTGGCTGCAATGTCTGTCTCATTATGATGGGTTATATTTATGTGTGAAGGTATCCATACAAAGGAGATTCGAGACCCTTTACTCTGTGCATCAATTAGGTCATTTATAATTGGGAGTATGAGGTTCTTGCTGTCGATCTTCCAAGAGAAGTTTTCGATTGCTTGAAGAGCAGACTTTGAATCGCAGAATATTATTCCTCCTCCAATGTTTTTTAATGTACTGGTTGCAAAGTGTAATGCTGCTAGTTCTGCTTGTGTGGAGGTCAGCCAGTTGTTTAACCTGACACTGACAGTCTTTGTGCAAATATTATTTCTATAAAACCTACATGCCGCTGCAGTCCGTCCAGTAGAAGATTGGACTGAGCCGTCGGTGTAGACACAGTGCTCGTGAGATCTTAGACTCTCGATGGAGGAGGCAATTGTTTCAAGAATGACAGCTTTGAGTTAGCAAAGTGAGGATGTATAGTGAAGAAATCTAAGGACTTGGCCAGTCACCTTTCACTGACTTTTGTAAGGGATGGGGGGGGGGAGTCACTTAGCCTTGTTCTATCTTAATAGGACAAATAGAACCGACCCCAACCAGCTCATATCTGTATCATGCCCCAGACTTACCTCTGCACCAGACACCCTCTGCAAAGTTGGGTGAGGCTAGCTCCAAGTGTCTGGCCTCCAACTTTGGACAAACACACACACACACACACACACACACACACACTCGTATAGATAGATTGCAAATGATATAAGAATGTATGTGTGATATTTTTAATACTTTATGATTATTATTATTATTTATAACCTTTTATTCTATGACTCGTCTTTCTCTGGGATGATGCCTTTCCACCCCGTGAAAAGGGGAAATGTGGTAATTACAGTATAGTGTATGCAAGGACAGTCAGTCTGCATATACAGTACAGTTACAGTACAGAAGAAAATGCAAGATTGAACCAGTGAAGAGCAGAGGTGCCATAGGCACAATCAGAGAGCACTGTATAAACATCAGGGGTCCGCGGTTGTTCAACGTCCTCCCAGCGAGCATAAGAAATATTGCCGGAACAACCGTGGACATCTTCAAGAGAAAACTGGACGGTTTTCTAAGAGAAGTTCCGGATCAGCCAGGCTGTGGTGGGTACGTGGCCCTGCGGGCCGCTCCAAGCAACAGCCTGGTGGACCAAACTCTCACAAGTCGAGCCTGGCCTCGGGCCGGGCTTGGGGAGTAGAAGAACTCCCAGAACCCCATCAACCAGGTATCAACCAGGTTACAAAACTATTGTTACCATTGGCAGTTACTGAGCATTTCAAATTTTATTCAAACTTTGCTGTTAGAAACCATTAATTTCTCTGTTCATAAAGATCAACTACCATTTGGGCTAACATCATTTGATTTTATTCCAGTTCGGCAAATTGTTAAGAATGAGAGAAGTTACTACGAAGAGGTTCTATCCCACAGTCGGTCTCACTTGATGATGTACCCGTACCACCTCTCAGATGTGGTGGTAAAGGGACTGCGTGTCACTCCATTTCAGTATTACATCTCGATCCTCACAGATATTATGTCTGCTGAAAAAAGCTACGACTCCCTTCCAAATTTCACTGCTGCAGACTGTAAGTATCATCTTCTCTCATCTCTAAAAATGTTTCAATTTTCTTTGAATAAAGTGTGTTGTGAATCATTTGGATGGTCAACTTCAAAGGGCATTAATGACATTTAAAATAAATATTTAACATATCCTTTGTTTATTTCAAAATAGGGTACAGAACAGTACTTAAATTTCCTGTAATACTGCAGCACACTTGTGTGTAGTGCAAGGATACAGTACTATGCTTGTTTTTCTCTGATCAAATATTTTGAGACTACAGAATTGTTCTTAGTATTATTTTTCTTCTAGTTTGTTTTATTGTGTTGTTCATTGTGTTCTGGCTGGACTTTGACAACCTGAGACACATGAGCCTGGGAACAGGAACCCTGGGAAACCCAATCCACCCAAAGAGCATCGACCATATCAGAATCAGTGGCCCTCAGGTAGCGGCGTAAAGCCGCCACCGGACACAACACATGATGCACCTCTGGCTGAACCAACCAAGCATCCACCACCACCAGACCCCTCCAGAAGCCCTACATCTCATTCTTCACCGGAAAAGGAGAAGGCTGTAATCAAACAAAATGACCACCCAGGCTGAAAGAACAGAACCCCTGGCGCCAAAGGAGAGCTAGAAGCTCCCCCACCTGAGCGCCAAAGGCCAAGGCCAACAAAAATAAGGTCTCCCGAAAGCAATCACTAACTGAAGGGGTACCACAAAACAAGGAGAAGAAAGAAAAGAAAGAACCTGGTCCAAAGACCAAAAAGGCTCAGGCAGTGCATGAGCAACCCGGAGGTGAAAAAACACACCTGAAAGCTTGCAGAACGAAGTTGAAGTAACATACACCCCGAACGCAAGCTGGAGTGGCTCTGCCAACGTTGTGTGATACAAAGCGACAGTATTTGGCATGTGAAGCCGGTCCAGAAAAAGCCGAGAGAGAAAGGACAGAACAACCCGGTCCGAAATAGATGAGAATCCTCGAAGAGAAAGGAAATGACAAAGACTGCCAAGAGACTTCATACCATCATCTGGAAGAAGACCACAGATGGGACACCATCAAAGAAGCCACCTAATCACGATAGAAATGGTGATTCACCAGTGTCAGAAAGACCAGATGCGAAGAGCAGAGCAGTAAAGTAAACCAGCAAGGTACCTCACTGGTCCAATCTGCTGGTAGAGGTGGAGCCGCGGAAAGACACCTGGGTTTAGACACCGAGCAAGCAGCACCTGAAACCAAGGCTGGGCCGGCCACCATGGAGCCAAGAGAACTACTCTCCCCTGATAGGACTCTAAGCGAGCCAATACCTGGAGCAGCAGCTGGATCGGGGAAAAAAAAAGTACAAGAACCAAAACGGAGTCAAGAAACTGTGCTAAGTATAGTGGGAGCCGCCGAGACCACGCTGACGCAAAGAGGTCCCCCTCTGGGTGCCCGTATATCCGGCAAAGCCAAAGGAAGGATGCGGTGTTGACAATCCACTCCATGAAAAGAGGAATGAAGTGGGACAAGCCGTCTGCCAGAACATTGGACATCCCCTGAATATGAACTGTCCAGAAAGCTAAACCCTGAAAACTCAGCAAAAGAGCTACCTGGAGTAACCAGCTCCAAAGAGTCCCAGTTGAGACAATGATCCATGGGGGAGCAGTCCGAATGGAGCCGGATCCAAGAGCTCTGAGGAAGCCAAATCCGGCGCAGCACCTGCCACACCGTCGCAAACTCCTACGCAGTGCTGTGAGCTCGATAGAAGGACCATACCTGACGCTCCTGGTCAGACTGGTGAGCACTGGTCAGAAAACCCCAACCAAGAGACGAGGCATATGTGAACACACACAGCGAGGGACGGGGAAGGCACCATGGCACCAAACCCCAAAAAGCCCGAAGAGGAAGCTGGTGATATAGTAACTAGTGCAAGGACACTGGGGTGCGAACCCAACGGTCATGAGTGTGGCAAAAGAGGTGGCTCTGCAGATACCAGAACAGCCCCGAAGCAAAAACCTGTCCAACGGATAAACCAGGAGGGCAAAAGCGAAAAGCATTACTAATTGCGGTGGTTTGTATATTCTTTTTTCTTTCGGAAGGGGCTCTGTTCCCTTCACCGTTGACAGGGCGCTGGGGGAGCAGATTGCTCTGTTGACTCTCACATGGTCCCGCACTTAGTGGGCGCTTTTGGTTGTCTTCCGGCCTCTGATGGCAGTGGCGGACAGCTTCTCCCTCTTTGGGGGGTTCAGGGCTGGCGGGGTGGGCTTCTTCCCCTGCGCTTCGTCATGTCATTTTAGTGGGTGCGTTGGACGTGGTCAATCCGCCCCATCCTTCTGGGGTTCCCGTCTGCTCTATGCAGACACAGGCCTGGCAAATCTGCAGTTCTTCTGGACTTGTTCAGTCTGCGCCCTGGATTCTGTGCCCTCATCGGAGGACTGTTGTCTATGGTCCGGTTTCTGTTGGGGCCGGGTGCCTGGATGGTGGCCCTGGACCTCCAGGTCAGTTCTTGGCACGTTCCTCTCCAGTTTTCCGGGACTGGCACAGTTGGTGGTGGGGCTTCAGGCTTGCCGCTTTTGTTGCCTTCCCTAGTTTGTAATTGGCACTTGGTGTATTTACGCATCTTTACCTGATCTTGATGCCCTGTCTGAGTCTGCATGGGATTCGGTGTCTGACCTACCTCAACGACTGGGTGGTGTGGGCTCCCAGTCGGTCCGCTTGTCTGCTCGCCAGGGGTGTAGTTCTTTCCAGATCGCCGGGTTTAGTTTCCTGGTGATCTGGAGGCCGTTCTATCTGTTTCCGTCCCGGGTTCGGACCTGGCTTGGTTTTGTTTAGGGCTCTTTGGCTACTTCTTGTCTTTCCCTCCAGAAGTGTTGCTGCAGCTGTGGTCTCGCCTTTGGCTGTTCATGAGGGGGGTCCCGGGTTGCTCGGCAGTTGCTCGAGCAGTTGTGCAGGAGTCTGAACTTCGACGTGCTGGTCTGCCCTCAGGGTCTGGTTTGGCTTCGGCATCTGTTTGGTTCCTTCGGAGACTCCCCTTCCGCCTCTCTTGCAGTCGTTGGGTTTGTTCCTATGGGGATGTTGTGTTGGTGCTGCGTCACCATCTTCCTTTTTGAGGTTTTCGGGGTTCCGGGCCTTGGCACCTCCCCGAGCCCTTGCTTGATGTGTTCACGGACGGGTCATCTCTCGGCTGGGGCTTTGTGACCAGTACTCACCTGGTTGGCCGGGAATGGTGGGGTCTGTCCGTCCGTCGGGCTCACAGCATGGTTCGGGAGTTTGTGGCTGTCTGGTTTGCGCTTCGGAGGGTTCGGGTCACTCGGTGCTCTACTATTCAGCTCCATTTGGACTGTTCTCTGGCAGTTCTTTGCCGGAACCACAGGGTTTCTCTTAGGTGTTTGACCTTTGGGGTTGGTCCCTTCGAGTGGCTCGTTTGCTGGATTCTCAGAGTTTGGCTAACCCTGAGGTTCATGTCCGGGGTGTATCCTACGTCCTGGCGGACAGCCTGTCTCGGTTCATTCCTCTGTTCGCGGATTGGCCAGTTGTCGCCGACTCATTTTGTTAGCTCTGCCGGACGTATGGACTCCTAGCCATGGACATCTTCGAGTCGGCGTGGTCTAGGCGTCGCCCATTCTATGTGGCGCCCTTACCTGCCTGCGAGGCGTTCACGGTGGATGCCTTTCGGCAGGACTGGTCGAGGTGGGGGTACCTGTTCCTCTTCTCCCGGCTCAGCTGTTGCTTCAGGTTCTGGCTCGGCTGGAGCCCATTCCCAAGGAGAGTAGTCTTCATGGGTCCTTGGTGGCCAGCCCAGCTTTATTTTCAGATGATGCTTGATAGGTGTCCGAACCCGGGCGTTTTCCCGCGGCTCCGCCTCTTTCGACAGGTCGGACCGGTCCTGTACATGACTGGTTCGGCCTTCTCCTCGGCTCTTCGCGTCTGGTATTTTGCCGCGGGTATCACCATCTCTGTGGTGATCAGGTGGCTTTGTTGATGGTGTCCCACCTGCGAGCTTCGTCTCAGCGACAGTATGATGTTCCTGGTATTTCTATGCACCTTTTTTCTTGCTCTTCGTAGGTTCTCTTCTCTTTCGCCTCGGGTTGTCTTGTCCTTTCATGGGTTTTCAGGACTACAGTTATTTGATGTTTCTTACTGTCGCCTTGTTTTGTGCGGCGCTGGCGGAGCCGCTCCGGCTTGCGTTTGGGGTGGACGTTACATCTGCCCCGTTCTGTACGCTTTCTCATGTTTTGTTTCAATCCGGCCTGCTCATGCGTCGCCTGAGCCGTCCTGGTCCTTGATCAGGGTGCCCTTTTATCTTCTCCTCAGTTTGTGGTAGCCCCTTTGGTTCAGGTTTCTGCTCTTTGGAACTGGTGGTAGGTTTGTATGTTTGCAGCTTTTCTCCGTCCTTCTGGTGACGGTTGAGACGGCTGCTTTCCGGAGGGGTTCTTGGGTTATTGATGCTTGATTGGTTTGGCCGGGGGTGCGTCCTGTGTTGTCCGGTTGTGCTTTTTGCCGTTACCTGCGTACCGTGTCTGGGGATGCGCTTTGGGTTGATCCGGTTCCCCTTGTTCCCTGTTTCAGGGCTCGGGTCTCCCAGGTCGTTTACAGAGTTTTTAAGTCTTCCAGCCTGCGGTCTATCCTTGCGCCCGTGCTGTTCGGACATTTGCAGCTTTCGCAGCTGTGTTGGTGACGTCTAGGGCTCATTGCGGGTACAAGGATTTGAGGGTCGCACAGGTTCTTGGCCGCCCATTCTTTATGCGCGTGTCTGCTCCTGTGCGTTCTTGTTGCCTTGGATCGCAGGTTGCAGCCTGTTGTCTCGGCTTCGCGTTGCGGAGTTTGTGGCGGCTGCCTCCCGGGTCAGCCCTTTCTTTTCCTTCTCTTTGGGTATGAAGCTCCAGGGAGCCGTAGGGGCTCCCCACAGAAAACCAGCGTTGAATGTAATGAAACGCCATTTTCTGGGTGAGCCCCGGAGGCTCCCTGGCAACCCTCCCTCCCACCGGTCAGCGTTTTTTTCGCATTGGTTGAAGCTTAGCTTCCGAACTGATGCTAGGCAGCTGGCGCGGTGAGGTCCGGGGCTCCCCCCTCCCCCTCTCGGGGCGGGGAGGGCTGCGCGGACGATCGGCGCGGCAGTAAAGTGTGATGTTTGCTTGTTTCCTTGGGATTGTAGGGAGTTTCTACCTCTCTGTTCGGTTTTTTGTTTTAGTTTTTTACCATGTGGGGTTTGTTTTGTTATGCCTACCTTTCTGGGTGCCTAACCCCGGTCGATGGCAGATAAGGAAAACCCCAACCACAAAGGGGTTTTCCAGGGCCATTGCTCCCTGAAACCTCTCTGAAGGGGCCAGGTTCTGGCACTGGTCCCTGGTAGGTCTGAACTCTTTAGCTCATGTCCCGGTCTAATATAACATACATTAGCCCGATAAGTTCCAGGGAGCCTCCGGGGCTCACCCAGAAAATGGCGTTTCATTACATTCAACGCTGGTTTTTTCATTTAGATAATGAATAAATGTGTTTTAAAGGTAACACAGTCATTAAATAATGTATGACTTAGTACTGCATATCAGTTGTGGATTGTGTGTGCTGGGTAAGGTTGCAAGATGATGTGAGCTTCCTTCATAACTGCAGATGTATCATAAACAATTTTTCGTAAGTTTGTGATAACGGACTGTGATAATACGGCTTGTTTTCAATACTTTATTATTAGTAACACAATTTACTGTAATAATTTGGCTTGTTTTCAATATTTTATTATTAGCAACGATTTTTGTGCTTAGCAAACTTACCTAGTATGTTTGTCTGGCTCCTTAACCTATGGCACGCCTCGGTCTAACATCCATAATACGGCCGCTTTGTATGTAGGGCAATTTTCTGGGGGGAGCCTCATCGGCTCCCCGGAGCTATCCAGGCTGAATGGATATGTATAACTTTCTGGCATCAGTCAAAGTGCTGGAGTTCTTGCCTACTGGGGACCACGAGCCAGAACCTGGCCCCCTCAGAGATGCACGAGGAGCAATAGCCTATAGAAACCCTCTTGTGGTTGGGAGCATTCTGTGTCTGCCATCGACCGAGATAGGCACCCAAAAAGGTAGGCGCCCCAAAACAAACCCCTATTCTGGTGAAAATATTGCTACCGAAAGCCGAACAAGTGGACAGAACTCCCCAAACAAAATTATCAAACTTGCACGACGTCATCACGTCGCCGCGCCACCGTCTGCGCAACTCCCCCCCCTCGCTTCCCCGGGAGGGGGAAGGGGGAACCCCAGACCCTCCACGTCGGCGATCCAACTGGCAGTTCTTGGCTGATGGAATTACTGGCTGGTCGAGTGCCTCTGGCTCCGGTTTTTGTTTCAGTTCTGTGCCTTGTGGTGTGGACTGTCTCTACCAGTGGGGTGTGAGCCAGGAGTAAGATTCCACGGTACTTGGGCTGCATGCGCCTAGGGCTGTCTTCCCTAGGTGCCCTGTAAGTACTGCCCTTGGGGCTTGGGGCCACCTTCCACAAGTCACCTTGAGTTCTACCTCCTTTACTGCTCGGTACTGGGCCGCCCTTGGAGTCGGCTGGGGTTTTGTTGGCCTGGTTTGTCTCTGGGTAGGTGGTAGTTTTCGTCACTGGTAGGGGCGCGGGGTACCCCACAGCTAGTTTTCACCTATAACAGCGGCCGGTTCTGTTCTGCCTGGGTACGTTGTCCTCTTGCGGGGTTTTTCTTCTGTTTTGTTTTTGCCTGGTGGGGGTGGGGGGTCTGCTTTTATGATCCCCCATTACTGTTCTAGGTGTTTTCTTTCGATTCTTCTGTTGGTGGTACTCCCTGCTTGGCCCCCGTGAGTGGACACGTCCCGGGGGTTCAGCTTTTAGAAGTTTGTTTGGTAGACTTGGGCGCCGGTTCGCGGTACCCTGCTTGGGCTTCCCTTAGCGTGTACCAAAGGCTAAGGGCCCTGGGAAACCCCATGGGGGCTCCGTGGTACTATAGGTGTGTCCCCAGAGTTCCCCTTCGCGTCCTGCGAGTTTGACTGTTGATCTGTCCCCTTGTCTCAGGGTGACACTCACCGGTTGTGCCTCTGCCATGCTGCCTGTTTGGTCATTGTTTTTTTGACCCGGAGTCGTGCGACGGGTTTTGTCGGTACGTGCTCCATTTCACCCAGGCCACTGGTCACCTTGAGGTTACCTTGAGGTGCTTCCGGGGCTTAGTGTCCCCGCGGCCCGGTCGTCGACCAGGCCTCCTGGTTGCTGGACTGATCAACCAGGCTGTTAGACGTGGCTGCTCGCAGCCTGACGTACGAGTCACAGCCTGGTTGATCAGGTATCCTTTGGAGGTGCTTATCCAGTTCTCTCTTGAACACTGTGAGGGGTTTGCCAGTTATGCCCCTTATGTGTAGTGGAAGTGTGTTGAACAGTCTCGGGCCTCTGATGTTGATAGAGTTCTCTCTCAGAGTACCTGTTGCACCTCATGTCATGATAATCGGGTGCAGGCAGCTGCGGCGGTGCTTGCTGGGTGCAGGTTGCAGCAACGCTCTTGATTGTTTGTGGCCCCGGATGCCCCGAGGCTGCCCCGTTCTGGTTGTTGGGGCCCGGACTTGGGGGTGGGGGTCGCTTCGGCTCTGGCTCCTGCCCCTCCTTGTCCTTCCCCTTCTGTTCTACACACTTCCTCCCTTGCTTCCTGCTCCGAACCATAGGCGGGTTTCGGGGTTGGGGCGGGGACTGGTTGGGTTGAGACTCGGGCGGTCTCGTGGGTTTTCCTCTTCCCGGGTGGCGGCGGAGGCATTCGAGTCGGTTCTTCCAGCCGTGCTGTATGGGTCTGACCAGTGGGCTCTCTTCCTTAGTGTTTGCATGGCTGCCCCGGCTTTTACTTGTCTAGCTGGGGCTTTGGGGTGCGGCTCTGCCCCGTTTCATGCCGTTGAGGTTCCCGGGGTTGGGGAGGGGTTGCCTGGGGGGCCTCGGCCCCGTTTGCCCCACTTGGGTCTTTGTACCCTTTGTGAGGGGCTGGCAGTTCCTCAGAGTGGGGTTGTTCCTTCCCTCTTTGTGTTCCTGTTGTTTTGGGTGTACCCCTCCCTGGGTTTGGTTCCGTGTTCCTTCAGGGTTCGTCGATCCCGTCGTTCCTTGGGGTGTGTGTCACCTCCTTTTCCTTCCTCTTTTCGCTCTTCCATCGTCGATTGTCCGCCTGGTGTATGAGCCTCGCCACCCGGTTTACGGATGGTGCATTTCGTACCTCGCGTGCTGGGGCTGGGGTGTGCATTTTGTTTATGGGCAGTGCGCTTGTGTGTTCTGCGTCGTTTCTCGAGGTTTTCTACAGCTTCTTGCTCGTTTTCTCCCTCCAGTCGTAGTCCTCTGGATGCTGGGGGTGTTCTGGATTTTATATATGGGGGACGTCACTTCATTCTTTCCTCTGCTTCCGGGTGTGGGATGGCTTGGAGTGGCGCCTCCTCCTCCCCCTCTGTACTGCTCCTCGTCTTCTGCGGGGCGTGCACCTCCAAACGTATTTCTCATTAGACTTCCAAATTTTATTCAGGTAACTGTCCTGGGCGTTGTTTCACCTCCGGCCTGCTCTTGAGTTCTGGTGCCATCCTGATCGTTGGCCTGGGTGGTCTCTTTTCTTCTTGTTTTGTTCTTTGGGTTGCTGCTTGGTTGGTCGGGCCGGGGGAGGGGGGGGGGGTTGCTTCCTTTGTTGTTCGGTCTTGATGTTTTAGGTTAGAGTGTGTGGCATCCGCCTCCCAAATCCTTCCCTATTTCCCCTTCCCTGGGGGGGGGGGGGGGTGTTGCGCAGGCGGTGGCGCGGCGATGTGATGACGTCATGCTAGTTTGATAATTTTGTTTGGGGAGTTCTGTCCACTCGTTTGGCTTTCGGTAGCAATATTTTCACCAGAATAGGGGGTTTGTTTTGGGGCGCCTACCTTTCTGGGTGCCTATCCTGGTCGATGGCAGACATAGAATGCTCCCAACCACAAGGGGGTTTCTATAAGCCATTGCTCCTCGTGCCTCTCTGAGGGGGCCAGGTTCTGGCTCGTGGTCTCCGGTAGGCAAGAACTCCAAGCACTTTGACTGATGCCAGAAAGTTATACATATCCATTCAGCCTGGATAGCTCCGGGGAGCCTCCGGGACTCGCCCAGAAAATGGCGTCTCATTACATTCATTGCTGGTTTTTTCATACAGTACATTAAAAAAAAAAAATGTCTTATATGATGGCAAATACAGTACATTATGATATTAAAAACTTAATTCATGTTTTAAAAAGGTTATTTAATGCTTTCCAGGTTTACGATTGTTGGGAATTGGACGAAACCAGTATATAGACTTAATGAATCAATGTCGATCAAGTCGAAAGCTATTTCGTAAAAAGAATGTTCGAGACTTGCTGCCTGCGCTGCCATCAGATATTACTATAGAACCATGGTGGTTGGTCTGTGTTGGATGTGTAACAGAAGACGACATAAAGGTTGGTTTTACACATAAATTACAATAAGCTAAAGTTATAAATTTACTTACTAGTCATTAATATTTGTATTATTAATTAATTATTACAAAACTAATTATTTGTTTATGGTAACTCTGGAATAAGAAGTTGTACTGTGGAAAAACCAATAAGCATTCTAATCATAAAACACCTATTTGATTCCTGCCAATGCAACAGCAATTTGATAACAATTAGTTTACTATTGCAGGTTATAGTACATGTGAATCATAAGAGGGTTTAAAAAAGGTTGATACCTATTGCCCAGATGGCATTTGATGTTAAGCCTCCTCACATTTGTTACTCTGGCACATCTAGGGAGCCGGATGTTCATCTTCCTTACACTGCTTTCATCGACTGGTGATGCTCTTATCACTACACTAATATGCCTTTTAAAGCCATATGAGAGTTAATTTTCAAAATGTTATTTGTTGTATTAGAATTTTTTCCGAGGGGAGCCCCTAAGGCTCCCTGGAGCTTATCGGGCTAATATATTTTATATTAGACTGGGACATTAGCTATGGAGTTCAGACCTACCAGGGACCATGAGCCAGAACCTGGCCCCTTCAGAGAGGTTTCAGGGAGCAATGGCCCTTGAAAATCCCCCTGTGGTTGGGGATTTTCCTTATCTGCCATTGACCGGGGTTAGGCACCCAGTAAGGTAGGCATAACAAAACAAATCCCACATGAAGAAACTAACAACAAAAATCGAACAGAGAGGTAGAACTCCCTACAATCCCAAGGAAACAAGCAAGCAAGCGTAACACACTACTGCTGCGCCGCTAGTCTGAGCAGCCCTCTCCTCCCCGAGAGGGGGAGGGGGGCCACCCGGACCTCACCGCGCCGGCTGCCTAGCACCAGTTCGTAAGCTAATGTCAACCGGGACAGATGCTTCTCTGGCCTCAGTTTACTAGGCGGTGTTTGCCTTCGTGGCGTTCACTGCCGTGTGTTGTGTTGTGTTGTGTGGTGGCCAGGTGTTCCTCATCAGTACCGGGGCTGCATGCACTTAAAGGGGCTTCCTTCCCTAAGTGCCCTGCGACGGCTTTACCCCGAGGTCTTCCTGGTTTGCAGGCTGATCTTTTAGCCATGCAGGCTGGTCTTGGCACGTGTTGTGGGCGTGCCGAGGCCTTGGGTTTTTGTTGTCGAGGTGGGCCTTTTGGTGCGGTTTTTGTGCTCTTGGTGCCTTCTTCATCGGGCCGGCGCAGTGCTCTCTGCCCACCTATCGGCAGCTTGTCTTTATTGTCATGCAGTGCTGCCCCTGCATGACAGGGTTATCTTCCCTGGGGCTTTCGGGAACCATTCCCGTAGAGGCTCTTGCTGCTTGGCATTTGCCTCGCCCTTGGGGCCAGCTGGGCTTGGAGCCCTTGTTTGGCCTTGGGTAGGGACTGATACTGTAACATACTCGACCCGTTAGCAGGATGGCAGGGAGGGAGGCAGGCAGAGAGTGAGGCTGGCAGGCTGGCTGGCAGACTGGCTGGCAGACTGGCTGGCAGACTGGCTGGCAGACTGGCTGGCAGACTGGCTGGCAGACTGGCTGGCATGCAGGCTGGCAGGATGTTCCTGCAGGCTGGTAGGAAACATCCAGAGGATGTTTGCCAGACGTCTTAATAATCAGCTAGGAACAATTTTGGCTTCGGCGTCTGTTTTGGTTCCTTCGGGAACACCCCTTCTGCCCCTCTCGCAATCATTGGGTTCGTCCTCCGGGGCCTTGTGTTGGTACTGCGTCGCTGGCTTCCTCTTCGGGTTTTTTTGGGTTCCGTGCCTTGGCACCTCCCCGAGTCTTCGCTCGATGTGTTCATGGACGGGTCGTCTCTCGGCTGGGGCTTTGTGACCAGTGCTCACCAGGCCGGCCGGGGACGGTGGGGTCTGTCCTTCTGTCGGGCTCACAACATGGTTCAGGAGTTCGGAGCTGTCTGGTTTGCGCTTTGGAGGGCTTGGGTCACTTGGGGCTCTACCATTCGGCTCCATTCGGACTGTTCTCAGGTGGTTCATTGCCGGAACCATGGGGGTTCTCTTCGATCCTTGCCTCTTTGGGGTTGGTCCCTTCGAGTGGCTCGTCTGCTTTATTCTCGGGGTTTGGCTCTCCGTGCGGTTCTTGTCCAGTGAATGTCCAATGGCCTGGCAGGCGGCCTGTCTCGGTTCATTCCTCTGTTCATGGAATGGCCGTTCGTCGCTGACTCGTTTCATTGGCTCTACTGGACGTACGGACTCCCGGACATGGACATCTTCATGTTGGCGTAGTCTCGGCATCTCCCATTCTAAGTGGCACCCTTTCCCGCCTGCGAGGCGTTTGTGTGGATGCCTTTCGGCAGGCCTGGTTGAGGTGGAGTTACCTGTACCTCTTCCCCCCGGTCAAGCTGTTGCTTCGGAGTCCTTCTCAGGGGAAGTAGTCCTCTTGGCCCCTTGGTGGCCGGCCCAGCTTTGTTTTCAGGCGCTGCTTGCTCAGTGTCTGAACCCGGGGTGTTTCCTGTGGCTCCTCCTCTTTTGGCAGGTCAGATTGGTCCGGTATGTAGCTGGTTCGGCCTTCTCCTCAGCTCTTTGCGTCTGGTCTTTTTTGACGCAAGTGTATCACCATCTCTATGGTGATCAGGTGGCTTCATTGATGGTGTCCCACCTGCAAGCTTTGTCTTGGCGACAGTATGAAGTATCTTGACGTTTCTTTTTGCCAATTTCTTGCTCTTTGGAGGTTGTCTTCTCTTTCGGATCAGGTTGTCTTGTCCTTTCTTGGTTTTTCAAGACCATCATTTGATGCTTATTACTGCCGCTTCATATCGTGCGGTGCTGGCGGAGCCGCTCCAGCTTGCGTTCGGGGTGGACGTCACATCCGCCCAGTTCCATACGCTTCTCGTGCTTTGTTTCACCTCCGGCCTACTTATGCTCCGCCTGAGCCGTCCTGGTCCTTGGTCAGGGTGCTCTCTTATCTTTCCTCTCCTCGGTTTGTGATGGGCCCCTTCAGTTCAAGATTGTTTTTCCAAGGTCCTTGTTTGTACGTTTGCAGCCTTCTGTCTTTTCTGGCGAAGCTTCTTTCCGGAGGGGTTATTGATGCTTGGTTTGTTCGGCTAGGGGTGCATCATGTGTAGTGTTTGGTTGCGGCTCCTCGCCGTTACCTGCGTGCCTTGGTTGTGGTGGCTGGGGATGCACGTTGGATTGATCCGGATTCCCTCGTTCCCTGTGCCAGGGCTCGGGTCTCATAGGTCATCTGTAGAGTTATTCAGTCTAGCCAGCCTGCGGTCTTTCCTTGGGCTTATGTCGTTGTTGTTGTCGTTCGGCCGTTTGCAGCTTTGGCTGCCGTGTTTCATAACATGTCTTGGGCTCATATTCAGGCGCGGTGATTTGGAGGTCATGCAGCCTTCTGGCCGCCCGTTATTTTGTGAGTATGTCTGCTCCTGGGCGTTCTTGTGTTGCTTTGGGTCGCAGGTTGCAGCCTGTTGTCTCGACTTTGCATTGCGGAGTTTGTGGCGGCCGCCTCCCGGGTCAGCCCTTTCTTTTCCTTCTCTTTGGGTATGTAGCTCCAGGGAGCCATAGGGGCTCCCCTCAGAAAACCAGCGTTGAATGTAATGACACACCATTTTCTGGGTGAGCCCCGGAGGCTCTCTGGCAACCCTCCCTCCCACCGGTCAGCAGTTTTTTCACATTTGTTGAAGCTTAGCTTCAGAACTGGAGTGCTATGCAGCCGGAGCGGTGAGGTCCAGGGCCCCCCCTTCCCCTCTCGGGGAGGGGAGGGCTACGCAGATGAGTGGTACGACAGTAGTGTGTTATGTTTGCTTGTTTCCTTGTTTCCTTGGGATTGTAGGGAGTTTCTACCTCTCTGTTCGGTTTTTGTTGTTAGTTTCTTACCATGTGATAAGCTCCTTACCACGGGAGCCGGTCGGCCGAGCGGACAGCACGCTGGACTTGTGATCCTGTGGTCAAACAATGGGCAGAGTTTCTTTCACCCTATGCCCCTGTTACCTAGCAGTAAAATAGGTACCTGGTTGTTAGTCAGCTGTCACGGACTGCTTCCTGGGGGTGGAGGCCTGGTCGAGGACCGGGCCGCGGGGACGCTAAAGCCCTGAAATCATCTCAAGATAACTCAAGATAAGATGTGGGGGTTTGTTTTGTTATGCCTACCTTTCTGGGTGCCTAACCCCGGTCGATGGCAGATAAGGAAAACCTTCAACCACGGGGGGGGGGGGGGGGGGTTTCCAGGGCCATTGCTCCCTGAAACCTCTCTGAAAGGGCCAGGTTCTGGCTCAGTGTCCCTGTAGGTCTGAACTCCATAGGTAATGTCCCGGTATAATATAAAATACATTAGCCCAATAAGCTCCAGGGAGTCTCCGGGGCTCGCCCAGAAAATGGCATTTCATTGCAATCAACGCTGGTTTTCTCTAATAATAAGAGAATACTATATTAAATTAGTTTTTGTCCCACTGTTTTACTTGTATGTAGTCAATCATCGAGAGAAGGCACCAAGCCAGGAAATTCAAGTAGATTAAATATGATTTGGCCTGGTGATTATTAGTGCCAAATCTTGTCCCAAGTAAATGATTCTTGAGGTTATCTTGAGATGATTTCGGGGCTTTTTTAGTGTCCCCGCGGCCCGGTCCTCGACCAGGCCTCCACCCCCAGGAAGCAGCCCGTGACAGCTGACTAACAACCAGGTACCTATTTTACTGCTAGGTAACAGGGACATAGGGTGAAAGAAACTCTGCCCATTGTTTCTCGCCGGCGCCTGGGATCGAACCCAGGACCACAGGATCACAAGTCCAGCGTGCTGTCCGCTCGGCCGACCAGCTGGATTGATGAGGTTAACTTGCTTATCACCATGTCAGTAGCATGTTGTGTGGTGCTACTGAAATCCCACTGAAACTTGACTCGTACAGTATTGACAAAAGCCAACACATTACACACCAGCTACTCCAACATTACTGTACGTTATTCCAAAATTGTGTGCTTCATTATCCTTAAATTTCAGAATGGGTCACTTGTGCTTCATATAAAATAAAATACATACTTTTCAAGAACAATTTTCCAAGTTAAATGCTTCAAGTTTAATCTTAGGTCTTGGAGCAATTATTTTTTGTTATAATTGTTTCATTTATTGAAGTACTGGTACAGTTTTATGGGAGTTCCATGCATTACACTTCTCTTCTTGGCTTTTTCGTATGATTTTGCCTACCACAAAGAGCTTGTTTTCTCAGTGTAGACTTCAACAAGGCTTACTTCAGGTAACTTAAATTTGTAGTCCTTCCACAGCTTTATCTCAAATTCTACTGCAAAATTATTTACTTGCTCAGTGAGTGATGAAGTAAAGGCATGTCATTATTGCAGCTTTGTCACCTGTGTGCACGCTATCATTAACTAAATTTTGCTCGTCTCCTACAGCGGCAGTCAGTGAAAGGTTTATAAAATATTTGTGGGGTTATAAGTGGCATTTTCTTGCCTCCTTCAGGTTCTTCAGAGATTTGCATATTCTAGCATTTCTTATGTAGCCATAGAGAGGTAGTTATGATAGGATTTAGGTTCAAGGCCTAACACTAGAATCGTTTGGTTAATCATCACTTCATTCAAGTTTTGAATAGTATACCACTTTATGGTGTTTATACAGCATGTACAATGTTTATAGATGGTAAAGAACTCCTATATCTTTCAGGTGCTCCATCAGCATTCTGGTATTCAGGTCAGTAGAAAGGATACTCTGTAAGTTTCTGTCTTTCAATCCATGTTTCTTTCTTTTGGCAGGGGCATGTGGTATTGATCACACCTTGGGGCTGGACACACTTTAGGTGGCCAGTTTGCAGTCTTTTATGGGGTTCCATTATGTCTGTGATTGCATATTACCAAAGTGCTGTGGATGATTTAATCATCTTTAGTTTATTTCTGTCAGGAAGGTTTCACTATTTATATACTTTCAAACTATCCCTCAAGAGGTCAGTGTATGTTACGAGTTTTATATGCTGGATGTCCATGGAGGTGGCATCTTTAGCGTCCCTGCCTACTTCTTCATTGCTTGCAACAATGGTAGGCCAGAGATGCAAAATGGAGACAATTTTGAATCTGGTTACAATTCTGAATAGTCACTCCTGGGCAGTTTGAGTAAAGGGGGTGGCCTTGTGTCTTATTTCTACAATAACACTTTCAGTATATATATATATATATATATATATATATATATATATATATATATATATATATATATATATATATATATATATATATATATATATATATATATATATATATATATATATATATATATATATATATATATATATATATATATATATATATATATATATATATATATATATATATATATATATATATATATATATATATATATATATATATATATATATATATATATATATACATATACATATACATATACATATACATACATACATACATACATACATACATACATACATACATACATACATACATACACATACATACATACACATACATACATACACATACATACACATACATACATACATACATACATACATATACAGGTACTGTATATGTACCTGTATATACATACTGCATATAAATTTCAAAGTTGGATTTAGTATGCTACTGTAATTTGAATAGCTTGGATTATGGTTGTCAATTCTGCATTGAATATTGGAGCTATATTTGGTAGTTTTGCATTGTAGATTTTATCTGAAGTTACTACACATTCTGTACCTCTTGTGGTCATGGATTCATCAATTTAGAGTTTATCATATTTTAATTGGTGAAGTTGCGAGCCAGAAGCAAGTTCTTGGCTGCTCTGATCCTTCATATTTATGTTTGCCTGACAAGGGCATGTCCGAGTAATTTTCCTGGTACAGGTTTTAGAAATTATATTTGCTCAACTTTCTTCTTGAAAGTGAGCTGTAGACAGTCACAAAGTATATTAGGGAGTTAGTTCTTTTGGTCAAGGAATATATGAAATACAAATTGCTATAAGAGCTGGTCACAGACATGGTCTAAATCTTCAACCCTTTCTAGTCTTGATATGCTTAATATTAGTCCATAACAAGAACGTTTGATACACTGAAGCACTCACCAACGAGAAGCTTCTACATTTGCTTTTCAGGTCCTCCATTTGTGTACCCCCATCAATGAGCTGTGTTGCATCAAGGGTACCCTAGGTTGTCTCTGTTGTACACAAACACAAGTGTGTGCAACAAAATGCATTTTCTGGGGGGAGCCCCGTCGGCTCCCTGGAGCTATCCAGGCTGAATGGATATGTATAATTTTCTGGTATCAGTCAAAGTGCTAGGAGTTCTTGCCTACCGGGGACCACGAGCCAGAACCTGGCCCCCTCAGAGAGGCACGAGGAGCAATGGCCTATAGAAACCCCCGTGTGGTTGGGAGCATTCTATGTCTGCCATCGACCGGGACAGGCACCCAGAAAGGTAGGCGCCCCAAAACAAACCCCTATTCTGGTGAAAATATTGCTACCGAAAGCTGAACGAGTGGACAGAACTCCCCAAACAAAATTATCAAACTAGCATAACGTCATCACGTCACCGTGCCACCGTCTGCGCAACCCCCCACCCCCCCCACCCCAAGAGGGGGAAGGGGAAGCCACAGACCACGCCGGCGATCCAACTGGCAGTTCTTGGCTGATGGAATTACTGGCTGGTCGAGTGCCTCTGGCTCCGGTTTTTGTTTGTTCTGTGCCTTGTGGTGTGGGCTGTCTCTACCGGTGGGGTGTGAGCCAGGGGTGGGATTCCATGGTACTCGGGCTGCATGCGCCTAGGACTTTCTTCCCTAGGTGCCCTGTAAGTACTGCCCTTGGGGCTTGGGGCCACCTTCCACAAGTCACCTTGGGTTCTACCTCCGCTGTGTCCTTTACTGCTCGGTACTGGGCCGCCCTTGGAGTCGGCTGGGGTTTTGTTGCCCTGGTTTGTCTCTGGGTAGGTGGTAGTTTTTATCACTGGCAGGGGCACGGGGTACTGCACAGCTAGTTTTCACCATTAACAGCGGCTGGCTCTGTTCCGCCTGGGTACAGTGTCCTCTTGCGGGGTTTTTCTTTTGTGTTTGTTTTTGCCTGGTGGGGGGTCTGCCTTTACTATGGTCCCCCATTCCTGTTCTAGGTGATTTTCTTTCGAATTCTTCTGTTGGCGGTACTCCCCGCTTGGCCCCCGTGAGTGGACATGTCCCGGGGGTTCAGCTTTAGCAGTTTGTTGGTAGATTTGGGTGCCGGTTCGCTGTACCCTGTCTGGGCTTCCCTTAGCGTGTACCAATGGCTAAGGGGCCCTGGGAAACCCCACAAGGCCTCCGTGGTCCTATAGGTGTGTCCCTGGAGTCCCTCTAGCGTCCTGTGAGTTTGACGGTTGATCTGTCCCCTTGTCTCAGGGTGACACTCAACGGTTGTGCCTCCGCCATGCTGCCTGTTGGGTCCTTGTTTCTTGTGACCCGGAGTCATCCGACGAGTGTTGTCTGTACGCGCTCTCCTTCACCCAGGCCACTGGTCATGATAATCGGGTGCAGGCGGCTGCGGCGTTGCTTGCTGGGTGTAGGTTGCTGCAACGCTCTTGGTTGTTTGCAGCCCCGGATGCCCCGTTTTGGTGGTTGGGGTCCGGACTTGGGGGTGGGGGTCGCTTCGACTCTGGCTCCTTCCGCTTCTTGTCCTTCCCTCTGTGTTCCTGTTGTTTTCGGGTATACCCCTCCCTGGGTTCGGTTCCGTGTTCCTTCGGGTTCGTCGGTCCTGTCGTTCCTGGGGATGTGTTTTACCCCCTTTTCCTTACCCTTTTCGCTCTTATGTCGTGATACTGTTAAAAAAAAAATCAAATGTAAGGTACATCCATCCATACAAGGTGTGAAACAAACATTGCTGGATTTATATATTGACCTAGTACATAGAGTGCCTAAACCGCTTCGTATCGTTGTCCCTGCATGTTCCTTGGTCAGGGGTGCTTGTCGTGGTTCGCGAGTCTTTTCGTACCTTCCAATATTATTGGAACGTCTGTTGATTTTCGATGTGGTTTTCCTCGGGTCTTTTGTCGGCCTCGTTGGTTCCCTTCTGTCATCTGTTTTCTTTTGCTTCGTTTTTGCCTTTTGTTTTGTTTTCGCGACGTCTCTACTTCCAGTTTTGGTGTTCTTCATCTTCGTTCCACACGCCTTCCTGGTGTTTGTACGATGTGTGTTTACGATGTGCCTGTACGTTGTGGGTACGATCTGTGTGTCCGCCTGGTGTACGAGCCACGCCTCCCGATGGACGGGTGATGCGTTTCGTACCGTGTGTGCTGAGGCCGCGGTGTGCGTTTTGTTTATGGGCGGTATGCTCATGTGTTCGCGTCATTTCTCATGGTTTTCTATGGCTTCTTGCTCGTTTTCTCCCTCCAGTCGTGGCCCTTTGGTTGCTGAGGGTGTTTTGGGTTTATATCTGGGGGTGTCACTTCGTTCTTCCTCTGCTTCCGGGTGTGTGATGGTTTGGCGTGGTGCCGCCTCCTCCCCCTGTGTACTGCTCTGTCTTCTGCGGGGCGCGCACGTATTTCTCCTTTGACTTCCGCATTTTATTCAGGTAACGGTACATACTATGCCTACTGCCTCGAGTATGCATGGCTTTCGGGCACACCATTAGCGCTGCTCCTGGTATGTTACTTGGCTCGCCTGTGTTGTGACACATCCGTGTGTCTGCTTTGCAGGTGAGGTTGTCATGTCTGGCGCCTCTGTCGGCCTAGTGCTTGTTCTCAGTTTTGATGGGGTGCTTGCCTAGTTGTGCTTGTGGGGATTGAGCTCTGGCTCTTGGGCCCCGCCTCTCCTGTCAGTTGACGGTTGTGCAATTTCCTGAGCCTCCTGGGCTCTGTCTTCTCTACATTTGCTCCTGTGGGTCTGCCTCCTCCACATGGCTTCTTGGTGCTTTTTGCTTCCTTTTCCCTCTGACATTGCTCAGGTTCTTTTTCGTGTCTGTGGCTCATTTGGGTGCTCGGCTTCCTCCTGTGTCCCCTTGTGCGTACAAACATACGGACATAAGTACAGAGGAACTGCGGAGGGCCTATTGGCCCGTGTGAGGCAGCTCCTGTATCTTACCACCCATTCCCACTCATATACATGTCCAACCCGCCCTTACACCAATCGTGGGGCTCCACCACCACGTTACGTGGTAATTGGTTCCGCGAATCACCGGGCCTGTTACCGTGCTGGTCATTCCTCTGGTCTTTTCTGATTCTACGCTTATCCCTTTTTTGCCCATTCTTTTGTGCCCACAATGTGCCGCACGGGTGGCGTGTGCCACTATCCCAGTTTCTATTGTTTCGTGAAGATTGGTGGCAATAAACACAAACACTAAGAGACTAACTATCTTTTGTTGCATATACAGTAGTATGCGGGTGATATTTTGGCGGGTGATGGTGCGGGTTGGGCGCACTGAGAGTCGGTCCGGTGTCTCACATGTGTCTGTTCTGGACCACACTTGCAGGTAGACTAGTTATTATTCACTACTCTGCTGGTTATATGCTTGGGTGACGCCTCACCGTTCTCCAAAGGTTGGCAGGAATTTTCCCTGGAAGTAAGGAACGGTTTGAGTTCCATCATTGGTACTACGTAGAGCTTTGCTTCTCTCGTTAGGCTCATGTGTTTGGAGCGAGTATCTTATTGGGATACTCTACTCACTCCGCCACCCTTGTTCACTGCTCCATCCTTGTTTACTCTTCCCTAAGAACTTTACTCTTAGCCTAAGAACTGCCAGTTGGATCGCCGGCGTGGAGGGTCTGGGGCTCTCCCTTCCTCCTCTCGGGGAGGGGGGGGTGTTGCGCAGATGGTAGCGTGGCGACGTGATGACGTCATGCTAGTTTGATTATTTTGTTTGGGGAGTTCTGTCCACTCATTCAGCTTTCGGTAGCAATAATTTCACCAGAATAGGGGTTTGTTTTGGGGCGCCTACCTTTCTGGGTGCCTGTCCCGGTCGATGGCAGACATAGATTGCTCCAAACCACAAGGGGGTTTCTATAGGCCATTGCTCCTCGTGCCTCTCTGAGGGGGCCAGGTTCTGGCTCGTGGTCTCCGGTAGGCAAGAACTCCTAGCACTTTGACTGATGCCTGAAAGTTATACATATCCATTCAGCCTGGATAACTTCGGGGAGCCTCCGGGTCTCACCCAGAAAATGGCGTTTCATTACATTCAACGCTGTGTTTTTTGTTTGAAGCCTTTAAAATGATTTATAATCATCACATCACTGATCATTTTGTTGGCACATATATTTATATATTGTTTCAGAGCCTGGTAAAGGAGAGAGAGAAAGTTGTAATTGATTCCCTGATTGATGTTGGACCACAGAAAGCAGGCGATTTGGATAGAGAATGTGTACATAGTCTTTATACGTGAGTAAAATATATGTTTGTATTTAACTTTTAGGAATTGTAAGTATTTTGTGAATATTGTAATACAATTATGACAATTTAGAGGGCATTGAAAGTGTGTTACAGCAGTGTTACAAACAAAATGACATATAATTAATTGTCTTTCTAACCTTTAGAAAAGGGTTGGTGTACTTGGAAGTGCCCATTAATGACAGTGACTGCATATCTGTGCCACCACTTGAAGGCTTCGTTATGAACCGGGTGCTGGGGGACTACCTGGAGAGCCTCATGTACAAGATCTTCGTTTCAATTGATGAGCATACACCAGTGTCTGAGGTGATACTGAATAGAGAATTCCGCTATGTACAGTATAGTACATATTTGACTGTTCCTGCAAGTGCAAGTGTTGAAGTTTTAAGTGTGATATGTGTGTGTGTTTCACATGTGGTAATATCGTTCCATAATGTTGTAATGCTTATGGCTCGGATGTACCTTTGCATGCCTTCTTGTATACATATATTTTACTGATTAGTTGATTTTATTATTAATATTCTTTTGTTTATACTGGTGCTTTGAGTTCTACTTTATTATTACAAACATTTTTACACACATGCATAGGCTTATTTGCCTGCCTATGTAGTGCATATCTGAAGATTGTGTGTGTAGTGTCCTTGTCTGCTAGAGGGAATAAGGAAATCATAGAGGAGATAAACATTTCAAAGGATTAGATACATATCTAGGCTAAGCATAGCAACCAACTTTATGATCAGGTTGTTTACTGCACTCATATTTAGAACTTGTTATACTCCTCTACTAATTATACATTTTATACTAACTATACCTCCTGTACTCATTACATCGCCCTGTACCCTTCCACCCTTTCAACCTCCTTTGCGTAAATGTCAAGGGAAGAGTTTTTAAGCTAGAAATGAGCAAACTAGAATTGGTTTCTTACCAGTAGATGGGGTGGATAGTTGGAGTAGCCTCCAGGAGGAGGGTGTGTGCAGTGATACCACTCAAAGGTTTAGAATATGCAAGATGGGACACTATGAGCATAGTTTTCTACTTGTAATTAAAAATAGATAATAAATTGTATCCATATACACACATACTTTTAATAAAAAAAACAGGCAATAATTCACCTGTATATACATATGTATATATGTACAATACTGTATATTTGGATACACAGATCTCCCAATATAATGACATCCTGTCATTGGTTTTATCTCCTCCAGTGTGTTTAAGTAACTTATTCCTTGTGTACAAAACAGTTACACTGTGATTACTTTTCTGCTCTCTCTCCCTCATGCTATTTTAGTACATTTGCTTTATTCAAATAACATTTAAAAATATTGTGGAAATATGTTTTTCTTGTACACAATTACAGTATAATGTGTGTTTTGAAGTTTAAGATTGCTATTTTGGAATATGTGTGGCACATAAACCTGTGTAGGTATGTATTAGGGCAAACTAGAGTACTGTACTTCATTATTTATTGTTACGCAGCTGGCTAAAGTGCTGGAGATTGATCTGGCATTGGTGAAAGTAGCGGTGTCACTCTTCTGTCGCTTGGGGTTTGCTCACAAGAAGAACGCAGAGGTGTCAACACTGGAAATGCACCCGTCTTGGGAGTCTGCCATGGCTCCTACTACAAAAAAGTAACTCGCTCTCTCTTGAACCTTCTTTATGTTTACTGTTAAATAACTTGTATATAGATTAATAGCTTCAGTTTTGGGTATTGACGTGTGATTTATGTCTGTGATTGTGGCAAGAAAGTTACAAAATCTATACAACATTTAAAATATCTGAAAACAGTTGGTGGGCTTGAGGTAAAGTCAAGAAGAATAATGATACATTGATGAATATAAAATGCTTAGAATGCTTGAGTCTTGGAGAAGCAGTAATACTTGATCTAATAACGGCAGCAATTAAACACATAAAGCAACGAGTGTGACAGAGTGAAGCATATTCTTGATATTGCACACTTTGTAAAGACTTCAAGGAAAGTGAGGGCCACAAGAGTGATTTTCAAGTTATTACAACAGTAGTGGCAGTGGGAAGGGTGAACAAAATACTGAATTAATTTCAAGATGAACTATAATAATTTTGACCTGTTGGACGTATGTTAACCCCTGTACAGATTGCCAACTACAGCGGATGATTTGCTCTTGCTAGAGTTAGAATCAGCCCTGGCAGAGAGTTCACTGGGGGAGCATGATGACATGGGCGCGTGCACTCCTCGAACTCCAACCGACGACCCCCTGGCAGCAGGGTTTGCTTTCAGTGGTCAGAGCAAGAGAATAGCATTCCTCTATGATTCAACTCTTACGGCATTCCTCATGATGGGAAATTTATCTCAAGTATGATATGATTATTTAGAGTCCCTCAAATTTACTTATGTAGTACACACATAATTCTTTTACTCAGAGAACAGAATTGTTGCCAGTTTAACATAACTCTGGAATTGTTTTGTTTCTTACTATACTACTGTTTTTATATTTTTACTATAACATAATTATTGTGTATAATTGGTGGTTTTGTATTTTAAATACTGTATTTATTATAGTACAGTATTTAAATGATTTTGAGAGTTATACAGTACTGTATGGAACTTAAAATATTAAATTTTTATATTAGGGTCTAAAGAGTCATGCAGTTACTATGTTCGAGGTGGGGAAAATGCTCGACGAGGGTTTGGACTCACTTCTGACAGAGCTAGACAAGATACAAAGGTATGTTGAAAAGCTTCATTTTGTGGAGGTGACTTCAGCAATTACTGTAAGAGAGAAACTCTTGCAGTAATTGCTGCAATATTTTACGTCTCATAATAAAGTTGTGCTCACGTAAAAACTGGAAATGACTTTTTGTACTTTTGTGGCATTATTTGTATACAGTATATGTATTCATTAGTATGTAATATGATATAATTTACAGGTCAGATTCTGAAGGTGAGGCTCAGCGATATTTTGAACATGCACTTACACTTCGAACTTCGGTCACATTCCTTCGTCACAACCGGGATTTGTGTTCCCCTGGGCAAGATGTCCCGCATGCATTGGATCTGATACGTTGGGAGAGTCTGAGCAACCTGGACCCTGCCACAACTGCCCGACTTCTAAAGAAAAACTATCAGTGAGTGCTTATTGACAATTATCATCACAACTCTCTTGTATTTGGATATGTAAATATTCCAATGTTGTATTTTAATTCAAGTTTAAAATGGTTTTAAGGAAATAATTTAACAGATAATCATATCTCATATTAGAAAGATATTTTCAACATTCTAATTAATAATTGTGACGGTTCATTTGCCATAGATTCCTCGTTTCCATGGCACCTCTGAGTTATGAAATCTCAGCCATAGAGGGTGAGACGCCGCCTCACTTTGGACCTGCTATCCCAGAGGTCAACTCTATCTGGTTCAAACTCTTTATCTATCACACTACAGGCTCAGGTCCTCCATCATTATTACTTCCACAGGGTAAGCCACATGAATTATTTTTGTTCTCTTTGTCGAGTCCTTGTACGATGATGAACACTAATTTGAACCAAATATGGGATGTGGCATATATTGGAGATGATGGTGAAATCTCTGCTTAATCAGGTTCTGCTGGCAGATATCATATGATGGGGATAAAAATAAAGATTTTGTTTGGTAAAATTTAACCATTAGAGCTTAGGTAATGTGAGTGAATCACTTTTTTTTTTTTTTAATCCTCCAGTAATGTGTGATGTTAGTGCAACAAAACTCTTAATATTTTGCCTGTGCTTACTTGTGGAGTGTGGCTATGTCTGCTGATCTAAGAGCTTTCACAAGCTTTGTCTTTATATTACACTGAGCACTCATGCTTCTGATACTTTGCATTTCTTTACAAATATGGAGTTCTAGAAGTCAGGACCCAGGGCTGAATGCCCTTGACAACATGGGCATGTTGTCAATTTCTTTATCAAAATCTGCTGTTTCTGGGGAAGCCCCTTCGGCTCCCTGGAGCTTACTAGGCTGATATACTAATGTCAGACTTTGGCATCAGTCATGTGTATGGGGTTCTTTGGGCCTACCGGGGACCACGAGCCAGAACCTGGCCCCCCTCAGAGAGAGACATGGGGAGCAATGGCCTATAGAAACCCCCGTGTGTTTGAAAGCATTCTATGTCTGCCATCGACTGGGTCAGGCACCCAGAAAGGTAAGCATCCCAAAACAAACCCCTATTCTGGTGAAAATATTACTACCAAAAGCCGAACAATTGGATAGAACACACAGAAATCACAATTACGTGATGCATCAAATGAACAAATCCTCAAGGACCGTGACGAGGATTCAAACCTGCGTCTGAGAGCATCCCAGACACTGCCTTAATCGACTGACGTTCTCCCTCCTCGCCCTTACTGAAGTAAGGGGGAAGAGGGAGAACGGCCTGTTGATATAACTCGAGTGCATGGGGGGAGTTGTGTAAAACCCTGGTTTGTGTCTCAGAGGCTGCAGGATCCAGAAAGTTCAGTAGAACTTCGGTTTCAACTCTTTTTGACCATGTCGTAGCTCAGTCGATTAAGGCTGCGTCTGGGATGCTCTCGGATGCAGGTTCGAATCCTCGTCATGGCCCTTGTGATTTGTTCAAGTGGATAGAACTTCCCTAAAAGAAACGAGCAAACAAGCTTGACGTCACACATCGCCGCGCCGTTGTCTGCGCTGCTCCCCCTCCCCGGGAGGGGGAGGGGGAAGGGGAAGCCCCAGACCCCCCACTCTGGCTATCCACCCATCAGTTCTCAGGCTGATGCTAGAGGCTGAGGTCGTGTGCTTGTCTCCAGTGTTTCCAGCGCTTTTGCTTTTGCTTTTGTTTTGCTTTTGAGTGTGGTGGCTCTCTTCTAGGGGTGCAAGAGCCAGGCATTATTCTACAGTACTCAGGCTGCATGCACCTAGGGTTCTCGTCCCTAAGTGCCCTGTAAGTACTGTCCTTGGAGTGTGGAGTTCCCTTCCACAAGTTCCTCGAGGTCTGCCTTTGCTAGGCTGTATTACTACTTGGTTTTCGGCTGCCATTTGGGTGGTTAGGGGGTTTTGTCTTCCTGGTTTACCTTGGGGTAAGAGGCAGCTTGCACTGGTGGGGCGCAGGGTACTGAGCAGCTTGTTTTCACCACTTACAGCGGCCGGCTCTGTTCCTTGGGGTACGTTGTCCTCTTGCGGGGTTTTGTTTTTCTTTTTGGTGCAAATCTCGTTTGAGTGGCATGAGGTCTCGACGGTGGTTCAGATTTTCCTAGGAGCGATCTTGAGCACCTCAATGAGTGCTTGTTTGCTCCTGCCCTTCCCTGGGATGTTGGAGTTCTGCAGCTCCATGTGCAGGTTCCCTCCCTTTCGGTTGCGCAGGTGGACAAGGACTTGCATGCCCGGGGACTCTTGGCTTCGACCTTGCGCTTCTTTTCCCTCCTGGAGCTGTCTACGGACTGGCTTGGGGAGGATGTGGAGGCGCTTGGGGCTGTTCCGGGATTCGGTGCCTTGGGCTTGGCGGCGCATGCGTCGTCTGCTTTGTTAAAGCTGTGTGCGCTGATCTGGCGGGATGCGGTTTCCCTGTTCTATGCTTCCCTGGCTTGCATATCAGCAGGCAGTGCTTGCCTCCTCCTTGGAATCAGCCTGGTTGATACCTGGTTGATACCTGGTTGATGGGGTTCTGGGAGTTCGTCTACTCCCCAAGCCCGGCCCGAGGCCAGGCTCGACTTGTGAGAGTTTGGTCCACCAGGCTGTTGCTTGGAGCGGCCCGCAGGCCCACATACCCACCACAGCCCGGTTGGTCCGGCACTCCTTGGAGGAATAAATCTAGTTTCCTCTTGAAAATGTCCACGGTTGTTCCGGCAATATTTCTTATGCTTGCTGGGAGGACGTTGAACAACCGCGGACCTCTGATGTTTATACAGTGTTCTCTGATTGTGCCTATGGCACCTCTGCTCTTCATTGGTTCTATTCTACATTTTCTTCCATGTCGTTCACTCCAGTACGTTGTTATTTTACTGTGTAGATTTGGTACTTGGCCCTCCAGTATCTTCCAGGTGTATATTATTTGATATCTCTCTCGTCTTCTTTCTAGTGAGTACATTTGGAGGGCTTTGAGACGATCCCAATAATTTAGGTGCTTTATTGCGTCTATGCGTGCCGTATATGTTCTCTGTATTCCCTCTATTTCAGCAATCTCTCCTGCTTTGAAGGGGGAAGTGAGTACTGAGCAGTACTCAAGACGGGACAACACAAGTGCCTTGAAGAGTACAACCATTGTGATGGGATCCCTGGATTTGAAAGTTCTCGTAATCCATCCTATCATTTTTCTGGCTGTCGCAATATTTGCTTGGTTATGCTCCTTAAACGTTAGGTCGTCAGACATTATTATTCCCAAATCCTTTACATGCTGTTTTCCTACTATGGGTACATTTGATTGTGTTTTGTACTCTGTATTATGTTTAAGGTCCTCATTTTTACCGTACCTGAGTACCTGGAATTTATCACTGTTAAACATCATGTTATTTTCTGATGCCCAGTCGAAAACTTTATTAATATCAGCTTGAAGTTTTTCAATGTCCTCAGCCGAGGTAATTTTCATACTGATTTTTGTGTCATCTGCAAAGGATGATACGAAGCTGTGACTTGTATTTTTGTCTATATCTGATATGAGAATAAGGAAAAGCAGTGGTGCAAGGACTGTACCCTGAGGTACAGAGCTTTTCACTGCACTTGGACTAGATTTTATATGGTTGACAGTTACTCGCTGAGTCCTGTTTGACAGAAAACTGAGTATCCAGCGTCCTACTTTACCGGTTATTCCCATTGACTTCATTTTGTGTGCTATCACGCCATGGTCACATTTATCGAAGGCCTTTGCGAAGTCCGTGTATATCACATCAGCATTCTGTTTCTCTTCTAATGCCTCAGTGACTTTGTCGTAGTGTTCAAGTAGCTGTGAGAGGCACGATCTTCCCGCTCGAAATCCATGTTGGCCTGGGTTATGAAGGTCATTGGTCTCCATGAAATTGGTGACCTGACTCCTAATCACTCTCTCAAATACTTTTATGATGTGCGATGTTAGTGCAACTGGTCTATAATTTTTTGCCAATGCTTTGCTCCCTCCCTTGTGTAGAGGGGCTATGTCTGCTACTTTAAGTGCATCTGGTATCTCCCCCGTGTCCAAGCTCTTCCTCCACACTATACTGAGTGCCTGTGCTACCGGCACTTTGCATTTCTTTATAAATATTGAATTCCATGAGTCTGGACCTGGGGCCGAGTGCATGGGCATGTTTTCAATTTCTTTTTCAAAATTTAGTGCGCTCGTGTTTATATCAGTTATATTTACCGGGGTTTGAATATCCCGCATAAAGAAATTGTCTGGATCTTCCACCTTCATGTTGTTTATTGGAGTGCTAAACATGTCCTCATACTGCTTTTTTAGGATTTCACTAATTTCTTTGTCATCCTCCGTGTATGAACCTTCACTTGTACGAATAGGTCCAATACTGGCAGTGGTTTTTGCTTTTGATTTCGCATATGAGAAAAAATATTTTGGATTTTTCTTTATTTCCTGAATTGCTTTCTGTTCTAACTGCCTTTCTTCAGTTTCATATGAGTGTTTCAATTTCCGCTCGATTTCTTCAATCTCCCTATTTAAATTATTCCTTCTTTGACGGGAAATTCGTGTCTGCATAAGCAGTTCCGTTATTTTTTTCCTGCGTTTATAGTGTCGTCTGCGTTCTCTTTCTACGTTAGATCTCTTTCTGGCTTTCCTCAAAGGAACATGTTTCAGACAGACTTGATACGCTTCTGAAGTAAGTTTTTCTATTCCTTCTGTAGGACTTGTATTATTTAGAACAGTTCCCCATGGAATGTTTGTAAGTTCCCTGTTTATTATCTCCCAGTCTATCCTTTTATTATTAAAATTGAATTTACTGAATAGCCCCTCTCGCTTTATCAACGTTTTAGGTCTATTCTGAGTATTGATGGTCGTTTGCACTTCAATGAGTTTGTGATCTGAGTATGTGGTATCTGATATCGTAATGTCTCTGATAATGTCTTCATTGTTCGTAAAGACCAGATCTAGAATATTTTCATTTCTCGTTGGCTCCGATATCTGCTGATTGAGTGAAAATTTGTCACAGAATCTAAGTAGTTCTCTAATCTGTGGTTGGTTAGGTCCTGATAGATTTCCTGGTATAATATTATTGTTTGCTATTTTCCACCTGAGACTAGGCAAGTTGAAGTCACCTAGGAAAATAATATCAGGAATCGGGTTCTCCAAATTATCAAGGCTATTCTCTATTTTGCTTATCTGTTCTGTGAATTCCTCAGCCGTTGCATCTGGCGGTTTGTATATTAGTATAATCACTAAATTTATTTTCTCTATTTTTAATCCCAGTACCTCTACCACCTCATTTGTAACGTTTAGGAGCTCCGAGCATACAAGGTCTTCCCTAATATACAGACCCACTCCTCCATGTGACCTAATTTTCCTA